ACTTTCTCACATCGATACACTCTTATTTATATCCCATTACTTAAAATAGTTTCTTTTTTTTTGTAATCTTCTATAGTTGTCAGCTGATAATGTAGGTCAAAAAAAAAATGAACGAAAAAATGCAAATAAGAAAATTCTATGAGATATATATATATATATTTAAAACTGTATTATGTAAACAAGAATGAACAATATTAAATAGAATTTTTACTAAGGTAGAAATATTTGAATAAAATATTAATAGAATTGTTCTTTAGACATTTAACTATTAAAGAAAATTTAAGTTTCATGAAAAAAAAAAAAGTAAAATATTGATGTAGATAAATTATATTTATATCTTATGCGTAGTTCCTGATAAAATAATTCTCATAAAACAAAGCTATACAACTCTCTATATGATTAATCTATTATTAAATAGGTAATGACAAGCAGCCGCTCATACACTTTATTTTCTTTTATCTTTTGATTAAATTTCCTACCTTGCTATTACATTTTATTCAATAAACATGAGAGTAATATAAAATTATATTTAGAATCATATCAAATAAAAATAGTAATATTTGTTTTTTTGCATAGAAGATATTTCTAATTAATATTGATTTTAAGTCTAATACTTTATGATTAAATTGAAAACAATAATTTTAATTATATTTTCCATTAGAATGCACAATCATATTTGTCTTGTCAAAGGATTCGAAGTACTTTCTTTTTTTGTTGATTTAAACCTAAGTTGACTAGACATAATAAAATGATTTATGACTTTATCATAGAAAACAGTGTTTCTTTTCTAATAATATTTTTCTAACATAAAAAAAAAATTCCAATGAATAAAAGTATGCACTTGATTAAATATCTCATATACTATATGACATATGTTGATATGATATTTTTGTTTTTCTTGTGTAAAAACTTGAAAAATAGACATGATTTTTCTATATACATTATATTATTGATGCAATTTAGAGAGTTTTCTCATTATTATTGACTTCTAGTAATGTTGTACTTCATATATATATATTTTTTTATTGTGTCATGTTGTTCTTTTCTCGATGAATGCGTGAACAATGAATTATAGAGCAGCTTGTTTTTTTTTTATGAACGCGTTTTGTAGATAGAAAAAAAAGAGAAGTAATGACGTCGAATGATGGATTGACGTCATCATTATCGATAGAAGAATAGAATAAGAAATGTTATCGCCTACTTCTTTTTTTCTTCGGTCTTTGCGTGCCCGTACGTTTACGAGTATGTGGGAACTTTTTTTTTCGTCCGCCTACGCTCTTTTTTTTTTTTTATCTTCGGAGAAACAACTAGAAGCATCGATGAATGAAGACAAGTTCAGTTAATCATATTTATACGTAAGCACGCCACTCCTCTTTACAGACATGATGTTACTGATAGCATGACATTCAATATACTTTTCTTTGAAAGAACGGAAGGAAAAGAAAATTCTAATTTAAAAGTAAAGTAAAATTTGCTTTTTTCTTTTTTTTATTCATCGTCTCACGTTTTGTCAATTTTGTTATAATAACCAACAAAAAAAAAAGAAACAAAATGTTTAGTTGATCACATATTGACATTGATTGACATATTTTTTCTTTTGCTTTAAGATGACGATTGACAGTAAATTAGAAACATCAACAAGTAATTTGTTTTCGACATTATCGGGTAAGAAAATAATGACAGATCTAAAAATATTCGTACTATGATTATTATTTTGTTATTTAAAGGTGAAGATGAAAAAGATTTTCAACAATGGAAAGAAACAATGTCAATTGAAATTCGTATGCCTGGCGGTTTATCAACAGAAAAACGACAAAAAGTAGGAAAATAACAAATAAAATTGATATTTATACATGTTTATTATAATTTTCTTTTTTTTTTTTTGTTAATCTCATAGTTATGGATTTCATTAGCAAGTAAATATATTCATGATATTCATCTTGATTGGGATAAAACTCTACAATTCGCTTTTAATAATAATTCATATTCCGAAGATGAACAATTAAATATTCAAATCGATAAAGTAAATATTTAAAAATACATAAGAGAAAAAAAAAAAAGAAATTTTCTTTTATTTTAGGATCTTCATCGAACAGGTTGTAATTGGTCATCAAATGAATCTAATCGTGCAATACTTAAACGTGTTTTACTTGCATTTGCTCGTTATAATAAAACAATTGGTTATTGTCAAGGTCTTCATATATTAACATCAGTTATACTTGATGTTATTAATATGAATGAAGAATATGCATTAATGATATTAATTTATTTAATTGATTGTATATTACCAGATTTTTTTTCTAATAATTTACATGCATTAGCTATTGATATGATTGTTTTTGATCAATGGTTAAAAATATTTAATCCACAATTACATTTACATTTACAAAATCTTCAAACATCATCATCATCATCTAATGATGATTCAGAAATAACATATGAACCACCATTATTAAATGTTTTTACCATACAATGGTTTTTAACATTATTTGCAACATGTTTACCAAGACAAACTACATTACGTATTTGGGATATATTAATGATTGAAGGTAGTGAAGTACTTTTTCGAACTGGACTTCTACTTTGGTCAAAATTAGCTATGTAAGTCTAATAGTTGTTTGTTTATTTTTATATAATTACTTCTTTTTTTTTTTTTTTGTTCGGGGGAATATAGTGCTGTTTTAAAAATAACAACAGCTGATCAATTTTATTCAGTTATGGGTCATTTATCTGTACAATTACTTGATGAAAAAATTCTTGTTGCTGATAATCTTATACAAGTAAGATTTATATATAATAAATAGAAATATATAAATTTAAAATATTTTGTCATAATATTTTATTATTAATCATCAATATTGTTAATCATGCATATGATTGAAAATATAAATACAAGGTTATATAGAAGGAAAACAAGAAAAAAAAAAAAACATTAATGTGTAGAAAACTCATATGTAATTTCCAGTGAACTACAGTTGACCGATTTGAAAAAGAACTAATTAGAATTTTCTAATGACTACTATTAAAGAATTTATTATAATAGAAAAAACTGAAAAGTAAAGAAGAAAAAAAAAACAAGAAATTATAATATATAGGTCATATTTTATTAGTAGGACAAATACGAATATCTAGTAAAAATACAATAATATATCAATTAGATACTTCTAATGATTGTCTTTTTTTTTTTTGAATCTTGATATTTTTCTAGGGAATATACAATTTTGGTCCATTTCCAACACCATTTTTATCAGAATTACGTGAAAAATTTACATTTAAACAATCATTAGAAAATATCAAAATAAACCAAACAAATACTAATCAATCAAAATCTAAAGTAAGATCAATTGATATTCCTTATAAGATATTTATTAATTAGATATACAAATGCCTAACTGTCATTCATTATCCAAGAATGATTTACTACATGACACCATAATGCGTTTCTTTTTTTTTCTTGTATAGGATATCAAAAGATCAAAAGCAAAACTAATTGATGACGATGTTGTTAATTTTATATCTTGTTTTGCAATACTTTCATCAGCATCATTGCGGAATAATCGATGTAAAAAAAAAACAAATTTCTTCTCTTTTTTTTATTTCTATTGTTTCATATTTACAGTGGAATCAATATTGCCTAAAACAAATTCTCCGGATATAAATCAACTTCGAGAACAATATAAAAAACTTAAACAACGAAATCAACAAGTACAAATAATTACTCAATGTAAGTTTTGTTTTTTTTTCAATAGAATTTCCAATAAAAAATGTTTTTTTTTTCTAATACTATACAGGTTCAAATGAACAACAACAGCATTCATCAGAATCTGTTTGTTCAATATCCGGTGGACCATTGGTAATTAAAATTGTTCAAAAGAAAAACAAAACGCAAATTCTACGCTTTGTTTTTTTTTTTTCTTTGTTGTTTAGATTAATCATTTACTTGTTAAACCAACAAGTATAAAACGAAATCAATTAAAGAAAAATTTTTCAATGAAATCTTCATCGAAAGAAGAATCAGAAGATATACAAAATGAATTTGAACAATTATTAACATGTCTTAATTTTGAAAAACCAACAATTTTACAAAGTGAACAAAATGATCGAACATCAAAAAATTTAATTGATCATCTTATTAAATCACGATCATCACAAATACCAAAATATTCATCATTTAATCCATTTCCATCGCGTTCATTTAATGAAAATGTTGCTGTAAATGGATATAAACTTGGATTATATTCACCTGTTGTGACAAGTCGATGAAAAAGAATAAAAGAGTCTTTCATATGACATACAACAATAATTAGTTATTCATGACAATGAATCATCTTTGTTGTAAATGGGTCTTTTTTCGGCTTTTTAATAATCTCATCTATTTTGATTTGAAATTAAAAGATTCTTTTTTCTTTCTTTTTTTTTTTGTTCGTCGTCTTCTATTTCTTTCTTCTTCACTCTTGTCAATAAACTTTCTGTTGTTAATATTACTATTGAATGATGAATTTTATGAAATAACAATAAAAATAAATATACATGATAGATCTTATATTTATCGTTCTTTATTTCTCATTTACATAACAAATTTCTTTTTTTTTTATGATGTATTGTTGTACTTGTATGTGTTTTTTTATCTTTTTCTTTCAATACAATGATTGAATCATTGTGAAAGTTGAAGAAAAAAAACAATCGAACAAGATAAAAAAAAAAGAAAATTTTTCAATGCCTCCTTCACTTGATTATCAAATCGAACGAAACAAACAACAAATAAGGCTAAAAAAACAAAACATTGCACATATTTTTATATTAAAAAATAAATAAAATCTAGAAGCTTCCAGAAAACATTCATAAATATTATTGGTATATATTTGCATCACCTAACATCGTTTGCTATCGATGGCATACCATGTTTTTTCTTTTTTCATCTTCCATATAGATGTATGTTCATAAACACAAAAAAAAAAATTTTCTTTTTTAGATGTATGTTTAAAACAAAAAACATATTTTCATTTTGGTTGTCGTAAAAGAAGTAATGTCATTGCAGCATCAACAACTTCAACACTAGCAGATGTTAATGAAGTACCTGATAAATCATGTTTTGAATGTTGTTTTTTTCGTTTTATATTTGTTTCTTCTGATGATCCAAGATGATGAATAATTTTATTACGTTTTTTTATATTTTTTAATGGACAACTATTTTCATCATTTGTATTACATATTATATGTCGTCGTCGTTGTCTTTCAAAACATAAACGTTCAAATAAATTAATTGTATATTGTGTTGTTAATGATAATTGTCTTGTATTCATTGTTAATAATGTATCAAGTAAAAGTAAACGTTTTGAACGATCTGTTGTCCATAATGGATAACGTAATTTAATACCATTAATTGGATTTTTAATTATTTTAACAAAAAATGATAATTGTTTTGTCATATGATAACGTATTTTACTTTTTAAACGAGCACTTTGTATTAATTGTTCATCATTTGAATTATTATTTGTTGTTGTTGTTGTCGATTGTTCAATATGATTTTCAATCCAATCACATATTTCATTTAATGTTAATGCACGAGATTTAGAATCTTCAATAGCAAATAATATCCAAAAACATAATGCTGAATGTGGTGGTGAAACAATATCAGTTGTTATTGTTGTTGTTGTGATAACACGTTCACTTGAAGAATTAAGTGATGATGAATCATTATCATGTTCACTATCAGATGAATCAATAAAACTTAATGGTGATGAACGATGATAATGTTTATCTGTAATATAAATTGGTAAATTTTTACTTAATATAGGTACTGAACGTGTTAAATGTGATGATGATGAACGATCAAATATATCTGCTTGTGTTAACCATGATAATTCTGTAAGATCATGATCGGATTGTTGTTTTAAATTTGTTGAATATTGATGTGTTAACATTTGTCTGAAAGAATATGATTCCAGTTTTCTTCTTTTTTTTTTTTTTTTTTACAGATGAGAACAAAAAGAAAAATGATGAAGAACAAATTTCGAAATACTTGACGCATTGACATACACAATGTACTATTTCCTTCCGTTTGACATGTGCTCTCAATTTTTTTTGTTTCTACTATGTCAGACGGATAAAAGAGAATATAAGAAAAAAAAAAAACAAGAAGAAGAAACATATGACAGTTACTTACGAAAAAAAAGAAATCAAGAAATTTCAACATATGAGAATATGTAAAACTAGAGGTTTTTTCCTTCAATGACATCATCCATTGATTTTATTTTTTTCTATTCTTTTAAATTATTTTTTCTTGAAAGGTTATATCATACTTCTGAATACAAATATACTACTAATATACGAGAGTACTCTTATACACATACGATCAATATTTAGCTTATTGCTGATGATCTGATGTGTTCGTCTGTTTATATGCTTGTAAAGTCAAGAAAAAAACCGATGAAAGAAGAAAAGAAGAGAAGAGTATGTAGAATCAAGAAGTATAGAGTGAATATGTGAGAGTAGTAGCGCAAAGAAAGAGGAGACAAAGACGAAAAAGAGAAGGAGAGAAGAAAAGAGGTGAGAGAAGCATATTGAATCTTTCTCGCAGAGTTAGTCGTGAAGGTATGCGTGTGCTCGTCGAGAGGAGATAGACGACGACGACGACGACAAAGACAAGGGAATACTAGTTGACAGTGAGAGAACTATTGCTTAGCAACACGACATCTGTCTTCCACTTATTTTCTCAGGATATACAGAGACATTTACTTGTATACCTGTGCTTTTGTGACATTAGGATGAATGATGAATGGAGAGAAGAAAAAAAAAAAGACATATTGGCTTTTCTTTTGTATTGATGAAGTATTTAAGTGGCTATGAAAATTGAGGAAACAAGTTAGTAAGCAAAAGGAAATATAAAAAAAAATCTCTTATCAAAACAAATATCATCAACATAGCCAGATGGTGTCTCGGTAAAAAAAAATGTTCAGAAACTAGTAGAAAGAAAAAAAAAGAATATAAAAAAACCTAAGTGTATGTTTTTGATAATAACATTTCAAAAAGAAATTTCTCTAGATTTATTTCCATGAAAAGTTTATAATTTCATAAAAGAATAAATAACTAATAAAAAAATCTAATCGATTAATTGTACAAACACATAACTAGTCTAAAATTTTATTGAAGAATAACATAATAAAATATGATGTTTTCTTTTCACCTAAGATTAACATAAATAATCTACAAAATGACAAAGATATTTTATCTTTTCTATTCTATCAATTATTGAAGATTACTTCTTTTTATAGATAATGACAGAATTTTTTTCTTTTTTACTAATATTATTAATATTCAAAGAAAATAATGTTGTAACAATGAATATAATTGTTTCTTTTTTTTTTTGAAATGAATAGGACTATAACTTACAAATTTAATTGTTACATTTTAAAATAATTTCGTTAATTAACTCAGAAAAATCAATACCTTTTATAACAAAAAAATTCTATTTTACAAAATGAAAATATTATTACGTCGTTTTGTTTTGAAGAATATAGCAAGACACAGTCGATAAGATTTATAAACTAAAAATCACTACAGTCAAGTAATAATACATATGATATGTAAATCATGATTTTTATGCAGTTGGTCTTCAGAGCTTTGAATCAGTTATTTTAAATTCCTATTTAGTTTCTCTTCTGTATTCTTGTGATGTCTCTCAAATATATAGAGAGAGGGACAAGAACTCTCAATCAAATTGTTCATCTATTGTAAGAAATAAGAAAATAATTAGAATCTAGATAAAATATAGAAGTCATTCGAAATTGTTTTCAGCAGTGCTTTACAATCGTCAAGTAATAAAATATCATAATCGTACTCTATTTTACTTTCAAAATTGCTTTTTCAAATTTAAACTTCTTACAAGAAAAAATTCTTAACGAAATCTGTTGATTGTAAAGATTAATATTTGATTTTTTTGAATATAATAGAGTTACTTAAATATCTGACACTTTTACAACGAACAAGTTCAATTTTAAGGACTTTATTTATGTAAAGCTTAAAATCGAAAATCAATTTTAAACGTCACTTCAATGAAATCATGAGATAACAATGATATCAAAAGCGATCGCAACCGAACAAACATACTTATCCTAATAATGGATGCGCCAGAATAAATGGCCGAATTTTCTATTTTCATCATCTACTACATTCTATTAAATAATAAAATATACCACAAGATACAGCGTGAAAAGCTCTACATTTTGCACAATAAAACATATTAGATGATGAAAAAATAAAATAGAAAACGTAATTATTTATTCTGATGCACTCATTAGTATACATCTAAGAGTAAGCATTACGCAAATAAGTGTCAAACCATATTCTGTTCATGATCGAATATTAAATCATTTTGTTATTTATTTTATTTTAAATAGAAAAAAGTCAATTTGCTCAAGCAATATATTTTCTATTTATCTAATTTGTATTCAAAGACAATTTCCTTCCTGACGATCTGACAAATATTTATTCACATTTGTCATCTAATACACAAGACATTTGAATCATTGTTAACTTTTTTTTATTAAATAGTTTCCTGTCTTTCAATTTCAAAATAATAGTCAAGAGTAAAATTACTTTTATCTTATTCTTAATCATATGAAAAAGTCATTATGAGAACAATATCAGTGGCGTAGCCAGGGGGGAGGCCCAACTTCCCTACGAACTTTTGAGCTTTCCCTTCTCTAGCGAAATTTTTGAAACGTATATTTTATTCGTTGGGACGGCAAAGTGGTAAAAGGTCGAAAGAAAAATATCGAAAGACAAAATGTCGAAAAACAAAATGTCGAAACAATGAGGGTGTGGGTGTTGGTGTAGGTCTGGCTGTGAATGTAGGGTGTGAGGTGTGGGTGTTGGTGCGGGTCTGGCTGTGGGTGTGGGAGTCATCGAAAAGAAGACCCACACTCTAATCATTATTGTTAGATCCTCTTAACGTAACAGTCAAATCCATAGAAAAAGAAATAATCTAATTAAGAGATAATTGTTTTTTCATGACAGCCGATAGGATATCTTTTCAACGGCATTTTTCATATTTTTGTCTACATTCTTTCATTCGACAATCTACCTTTCGACAAAGTGATTTTCGACATTTTTTATTTCTGCAATGTGCTTTTCTGCGTCCTGCTTTTCGACATTTTGTCTTTCGACCTTTAACCACCTATTCGTTAGGACGGGTTTAGCTCCCCTAGTGGATAAAATACATGTGTCAAAAATTTCGTTAGATGCGGCTTAGTCCCCTCCCCTCCCTAGGCCAAAATCCTGGCTATGCCATTGAAATATATGAAATCCTATCATTATTGAAAAAGAGCAACACTTTATCGTCAACTAGTGGCCTCTATGAAACATATAGTTCATCGGTTCCATTATAAATTCCAATGAAAGAGAATATTTTTAAAATTAACTAACTGGGAAAAAATCTCTTTCAAATTATTTATATTTAATTGATTTTTTTTGTTTCTTAACTAACGGCTATTTCATTGATGGATTCAAATACAAATGAATATGAACAAGAACTTTTATCATATCCAGAAAAATTAGTTGAATATCTTAGTGAACATATAGAAATAATTGAAAGAACACTTAATGATGATGAAGATTTTTGTAATCAAGATATTAATTCAACATTAAATTATGTTGAAATTATAGAAAAAAAATTTAATGAAAAAATTCAAACATTAAAAAAACAATTAGAACAAATACGTTTAGAAAATAAAGATCGATCAGAAAAAAATAAAAAACAATTTCAAGAAAAATTTACTGAAATTAATGATTTATTTATTGCTCAAAATTATGTACAAGGTTTGTTAAAATTCTCAAAAAAAATAAAATCAAATAAAACTTGTAAATTTTCTTGTTTCTTAAAAGCTTTAAATAAATTTAAAGATTGTGAAAAACAATTTCAACAACGATCAACATTAATTCAACATGTACCAAAATTATATATAAAAGAATCAGACATTGATGAATTTTTTTCATCTAATCATAAAACTAATATATCTTCAATACAATCAACTATTAAAACTCCAATAACAACATTAATAACAGATCATGATATTGAAATAACTTATAAAGAACGTTCACGTCAAGAAAAAATTGTTGAAAACGATAATTTTAATAAAAATGATGAAGATTTTGAAGATATTAATAAAGAAAAAAAAGAAGATTATGATAAGTAATAATTTAAAATTCAAAAAAATACAATTTTCTTTATTTTGTTTTTTATGTATTCAGATCTAGTTTTGGTATTCGATCAAAACGTCAAGAAAATCCAACACCAACAATTAATAATAATAATAATTCTATGTACGATTGAATAGTAAATTAAATTTTTCTTTTTTCTTTAATAGATGTTAATCAATATATAAAATATTAAAAACTAATCTGTATTAGAAAATGAAAAATTCGAAATATTCTTAGAAATTTATTTAATCTTACAATTATAAACACTAAAAAATAGTTTTGAAATTTCTTTTAAAAAATATAAAAAGGCTATTGCTAATGCATCATGATGATTATTTAAAAAAAACCAAGGGGGAAACAGCGGACCAGAGATGGACAAAACCGCACCGCGCCACTGCTCGCACCTAGGCGCTATGCACATCTCTCTTTCTCTGTGCTCTACCAATCAGTTTCTCAAACTCTACCGAATACCGGGATGCTCTAAGCATGCGCTCATCGAAGCTCAGACTAGTGCAGCGTAGGCGTGAGCAACGGCGCGGGGAGGCGCGGTGCGACTTTGTCCATCTCTGCAGCGGACTTCAACAGACTTCAACCGCAGTGACTTCATATTTTCACAAGACTTCAAAAGAGTTCTAAAGACTTCAAATGACTTCACAAGACTTCAGAAGACTTCGTTAGACTTCATGAGACTTTGTAGGACTTCTTGAGACTTTATAAGACTTCA